CCGCCATGCCCAGGCAACAGCTTCAGGCCAAGGCCAAGGATGTGCAAGGCTTTTTTAGGGATGGCGGCTGCCCTGTCTGGGTTCGAGGGCTTCTTGGGGTGAAGGCTCCGAGGCTGACGAGCCACAAGACCCAGGTATTCATGAGTCTTGCTCGCATGGTGTCGGTATGTCAGTATGCCTTCGCAAGCAAGGACCTAAGAATCAAACATAGCCAGTTTCGACGAGACCCCGACTGGCCCTAGCGACGGCAGCTTCTTTGGGCCTTCCACTTTCAGGCTGCAGGATCTTGCCCGAACCACATCAAGTGACATCCGAGAACAAACTCATGTGAAGGCTCGGACTCTTCGTGCAACTCCGAGCCCGAAGCCGCTGAAGCGTGCTTGGATCAACCAGCTCAGCATTCTTTCGAGCAAGCTCGGCATTCCCAATGTGCTCCACGTCAACACGCTCTCGCAAGTGCATCGGTGCTCTCAGCAGTGCAAGACTCTTGCATTTAGCATTTCGGCTGTTTTAAGATATCAAGGGGTAGGGGGAGTACAAACCCTTCTACACACACGTGCACGCGTTCCTGTAATTACAGTGTCACCTGACCCTACGTACCCCTCTGGGGTCTGCGGCATCCGTCTGGGTCCTTGCACTAGTGTATAGTCCGTCGCATCTATGTCTCGTCGTATGCATGGTCGCAGTGTTGAGCGCGTTCCTGCGATTTTCCCATGTTCCTTCATGTCCTCGTACGTTCCATCTGAGTGTGGACATGTGCACGCGTGGAGACCTTGAACAGTCTTCCTGCAACGTCGCATTGACACATGCCCGTGGAACTGCAGATGCTTCAGTTCTACTATGCATGCCAAGAGTGGCATAGTTTTGCCGCGCAAACAGCTGATTGTACATGCTAGCATGTCAATGGTCTATTCTACGGTATCGCAGGAGGCCTTTCCGCAAAAGATAAATGATAATGCTAGTTTCGTCACTGTTCGTTCATTATTGTCGGCCAGCAGATGTTGGGGCCAACGACCAATGCTACTCTTGGTCTCTCTACTGGTGATGATGATTGCTCAGAGACGCTATGTTTTTGACAGAAGACTGTGCACTAGCAAACGGATTCAATCACAGTATTATTAATGTCGATCTCCTAGTCGGTGCTGCAATCATTGCAATCATAATGATGCCAGACGTTGACATCTATTCTTGTTGCGGTTTCACACAAGGTATTCGACAGTACAACTGTATCCGGAACACCTCTTGCTTCAGGTAGACATGTGAGCTACCACTGCCCGTGCTGATATGTGCAAGTGTACCCTGTTATTGGTACCATTGCGGAGCAGCAAGTATCAGTACTTTGCAGAAGAAAAGAGTGCAGAAGACAACAGTTGTCTTCTGCACTCTTTTCTTCTGCAAAGTACTGATACTTGCTGCTCCGCAATGGTACCTTGATCGCTGCAAGATCCCTAGCATGCGTTGCCTTATCCATCGCTATTGGAAGTGACATTTCTCAAAGCCGCACCAGATACTATCGCAGTGTAACGTTATGTGTATGTATGTGTATAAACAAAAAATATACACGTATGTGTGTAGTTGTTGCTTCCTGCTCTGCGCGAGCTTGCAGGGTGAAGAAGAAATATGTATGTATGTACGTATGTATGTATGTACGGATGTATGTATGTGTGCGTGTATGAATTTATTTATGTATGATTGTCTGTATGTATGTATGTATGTATGTATGTATGTAAGTGAGTATGTGTGTATGTATGTATATGTGTATGTATGTATGAATGTATGTATGTGTGTATGTATGTATGTGTGTGTGTGTATGTATGTGTGTATGTGTGTATGTATGTATATGTGTATGTATGTATGTATGTATGTGTGTGTATGTATGTACGTGTGTATGTGTATGTGTATGTGTATGTGTATGTGCATGTGTATGTGTATGTGTATGTGTATGTGTATGTGTATGTGTGTGTGTGTATGTGCATATGTACGTGTGTGTAGGTAGATGTGTGTGTATATATATATATATATATACATATATATACATATGTATACATGCATGCATGTATGCATGCATAGATGGATGTATGGATGGATGTAAGCGTGCGTATGTATGTATGCATGCACGCATGTATGTTTTCATGTATGCATGTGTATGCTCTGTACATACACACACCGACGTATATACATATATACATACGTGCATACATACATGCATACATACTTACATGCAAACTTACATGCACAAACACACATACATACATAGATAGGTACATACATACATACATACATGAATGAATACATACATAAACTTACATACATACAGTCAGACAAGCAGACAGACAGAAAAACAAACAACGGAACAAGCATGCACATGTACATGCACATATACATGCGCATGTGCATAATCGCATGCGCACACACATGTGTACATGTCTGTACACTGTGACGTAACACGCTTGTGTGAACTTGTAGATACCTGTATACGCATATGCAAAACCGTAGTTCTAGCTATGCTCGATGCACACACTAGCATGTGCCAGCGCAGGATGAGTGCCAATGTTTGGCGTAGTTTAAGTTGCATGAACTCCTCTTACAGTTGCACAGCAGAGATTCTGCAAGCCAATGTTGTGACAGATCGTTCTTTCAAGCAACATGCTAACCCAACACCAGTACAGCCATTTATGGCTGTGACTGGCCTTGCATGATGACTGCTTCGACTGTTGCTATGCTTGTGCTTCCGTCAGCTCTTGCCCTTTATAAACATGCTTACGAAATATTGCTGTTTTCGCGAGTCTTGCCATTAGCTTCTGTACCACTGTTGGAAGACCTGTGAAGGTATTGGTTTGGGGTCTATGTCTATCCACAACATCGCACCCCATGTTGCCTGCTTCTGCATTCTAACGGCTTGGAATCTTCGATATGCGACAACATGTCTAGACTGCTGAGCACCGAGACCGAATCTTGAAATGAGCTCTATTTGATAGAGCAAACGGAAAAGCAAGGCTGTTCAGGAAGTATAGCCTCAACCCTGAACAAGATCAAGGGCATAGACCAAAAAAGCGGTACTCGTGAATGTCCATCTTCTCTACATGGGTGCAAGAAATTTAAGGGTCGGGAATGATTGGAGTCTTGTGCGGCTGGCGCCAAGGACATCTTGTGAAGCTGGAGAGATGTGTTGAGAAGTGGGGACTAACCGCACGTGTAAGTGCGAAGCTTTCATGCAACTACCGTACGCACATTCCAGCGAATGCAGTGCTGGCAAAAAGGCAGCCCAACCCCAGCCATCAGCATGCAAGCTACCCTCCGCCACGTACAAACTTTCCTTACCGGCATGCAAAACATGGAGGTGACATAAGTACTGCGGCAAGATGTGCAGCGCTGACCTTGCGGATAGCCCCTATGTCTCTGCCGTTCTTTCGTGATGTCCTGCATGAGGTAAAGTCAGCAGTCAGCGTGACTGGAAGACTCCTGTTGCATTAAGTAAGAGCCCTGGCACACCGGAACATCCTCTGCGCAGCGCATCCAGAACAGCCTTAAGAGTTCGACGGGCTCTGGCACATTGTACCAGGTGACAACAACTGATGTCTTGTCAGGTGCTAAAGAAGTGCTGAGACTCAGCTTGTGCCTTGAAGCCTCCCACCACAGCCCTCGATCTGTCAGCTGAGCTGATTGACGGCTCGATACACGAAACAATGAGGTACTCCGAATTCGGGGCTCGACAGTCGTCACTCCCATCCCTTGTGCAACCTCCACACTGGAACGGGACCTCTGCCACAAACTTCACAGGTTTCGGAGCGGAGGCCCACAAGTAGGGTACTAAGGCGTATTTCCTGGCCGTCTCGACCCTCAAGCTTGAATCCTAATCAGGTCCTAATCCCGAGGCCTGAGATGACAAGCAACAGCTCTTACATTGCTCTTACCCGCCCCAGAACACTGCAAGAAACCGACAAACACTAGGACCTTGGTCACCGCGGTTTTTTTAGCACCTGGATCTCGGCTCTCAACTTGGAGCCAAATTCCGAAAGCACGCCTCTTGCAAGAGGCGCGGGAACAGCGGAGATCACAACTTACAAAAAAAGCAAAGAAGCTCGATGATTCCGAGTGCTTTTGGCCCTTTGAATGGCTGCACAAACCCTCGTCCATCAGGAGCTCGCCTCACAGAGTCGATGTAGCAGCCCACGTGCTAATTACTTAATTTAACAAACAACAGGCCAAAACAAAACAGACAGACTTGAATGAGCTTGAGACGAATAGCACAAGGGTCTTCGGGCAGCTCCCAAAGGAGCGTCATACACGACCGATTCGGTTCAAGGCCAACCGAACTGTAAAAACCCCTCACACTGGTTTCTGATACTTTCTTGACTTACTTGCAGCATCGAGCTTCATGGTAGTCTTTGCAAGCACGTCTGTGGCGAGAGTTTCTCCTTTCCCCAAGCAAGGGATCCCTCAACTTACTGTATACAGTCCTAAGTAGCCACATCCCTCACACAAGACCCTAAGCGGACCAAAGGGTGATCGTGCAACATCAATTCAGCGGGGATCCGTGTTCGGGAAATCGCCAGATCACTTGCGATTGATATCGTTAAACGTTCAGCGCATCCACTGCCACCTGATGGGCCTTCACTCTGCTGACATTCAGTCTTCAGACCATCAATCGCCCTGGACAGTAATTGTCCTGTTCATGGCCACGGTATACTACGGTGATAAAAATGATGGGCCTGTTTGTCCTGGCCCCAACAGATAAACTCACGAATGCGGATCCCGGCCAGGACCAACATTGCGGTGCCATCCCAGCGTCTGAGCCGGGCGAAACCCTGAAGAAACTCCGGCAGTCTAGGAGCTTGCAGTGTGGATTGACCTAAACCCTAGACTAGACTCTGAGAACCTGCTGCGTCCGACCCGACACCACTTGCGTCGAACCCTGACAAACAAACGGAAGTGTGTTTGAACGCTTCAGCATTTCCCACCCCGTGGAATGCAACCGCAATGCTGGCTGCAGGCGGGGATCACAGAACTCGTGACAACACTCCGACCAAACCGGAGAGGAGTCCGCCGACCAGAAGAAACCTTGGCTGACAAAGCTGCCCCAGATTTTAGAACAAGGATCGGACTACCTAGGGCCTTTATACTCGCATGAGATAACAGTGTACCGGAGGCCATCAACTTTTGAAACTCCTAGACTGCAGAAACTACACCAGCATTTCCAGGAAAGCCCGAGCAACATGTTCTATATGATTCCGATGATGCGTGTGTGGTTCCTTCGAGCATGGTGCCGGGTCTGTCACTTAGCACACCGGCCATTCGAGTTGTCGTCTTTATTGACAAAAAAGATATAGACATCGAGGCCTTGGAGCAATGGCAGACCGTTCCGCAAGGAGGGATGCAGAGATGCACAGATAGAAGCCGTGCGGGCCGGAGGGTTCCGATTTGGAGGTCAGGGAGTGCGGAAGGCATAGTTTTGAAGCTTCGGGGTTGAGGGCTCAAGCCCTGAATGGGTACCACACGGTTTCACAGGCACATGAAAGTTAGAGGTTGAGAGTGAAGGATCCGGGCCTTGGGGCTCGGGATGGAACTGCGCAGTCTACTGGGCTGTGAAAGAAGCTGCGCAGAGTGAGCCCGCAAAGCTTCGAATGCAGATCGATTCTGTGCTTGACGCTTTAGGAGACCAGGTACTTGTGTTCAGACTTTTCTGGCATCTGCCGTGTAGCTGCATCGGTAAGCCCTAAACCCCACAACCTTCTCCCTGGCGAACACGAACAAGTCGATCTTAACGGTGAAGATTTTTATGGACTTGGGGCAATGCACTCGCTGTCGCTGCAGCTGACACAGCCCCTGACATCCGATTCTATCAGACTGGCCTCGTGCCAGGATTGGAAGACACGGGCGGTCCCTTAAGATAGCTGGGACTGGATCAACCCAACAATGTCATCCCTCTCTGGAGACCTTAGTCCCTGACACAAGCCCATTTGTAACTACACCGCAGCTCCAAGCTACTTACACGAACGATCCTGTGGTTGAGGGAAGTTGGGGGAATGACGTTTGCAACAAAGCACAACCATCTGGGCTGGGCCAAAGAACTTGATGAGAGTCCGGCGCAATGCAACTCCATCCTACGTGCTTCGGGAATCCAGCCAGCGGACAACCTCAAAGCAATACCGCTCTACCTTTGACTGTCTTTGACTGCAGTCTAAGGCCAAAACCCAGAACGCTAAAGTCTCTACACAGCCTCCTCCGAGGGACTGTTTCAAGAACATCTCCTGCGTGAGGCGGATGTCACGCACGAAAAATCCCGGGGAGCCTTGGCTGTCGTCACTGATGTTGACGTCGGGATCTGCGGTTTCTAGCTCAGGCAGGCAGGTTCCGAGTCTGGTGTTAAGCTCCTAGCATGAGGTGACCGTGCAAGCTGTATTCATGTCTGCGGCTCTACAGCTCATGCCTGGCAGCTGTCTGAAATGAACCTCACCAGGTACTGTCTCTCCATATCGAGGTAGTCCTGCCGCACAAGCGCATCAGTGACAGGGTCAAAACGATTGCACCTGTTGTGGCAGGGTACAGCATGACACGACATGAGATGAAAACTAGCTGGATGCTGCTGATGATAGCATTGCTGTTGCTGCCACTATTGCGGCGCCGCCCTTATTGTTGTGGTTGTGGATGTAGCTGTGGTTGTGATTGTAGCTGTTATTAGTGTTTTGTTGCTGATTGCTGCTCTTGCTCTCCTGAATCTTATACTTCTCTCTTGACCATTAACACCAACAAATCGCAATGGTCAGAATACTACTGCTGTTGTTGTTGCTGTTGGTGTTGCTGGTGCTGGTCCTAGTGCTGTTGCTGCTGTTGGTGCTGCTGCAGCTGCGGTTGCAGCTGCGGTTGCAGCTGCGGTTGCAGCTGCGGCTGTTGGTGTTGGAGAGTAGCAGCTCTGACTAGGTAAGAATGATAACACTGATTTTTTAATAAACCATGATAATGGCGAAACGCCTTTTGAATAGCAAGAAAACCGTTGATTTGTGTGGCTGTGCTTGCTCGCCTGCTTGGCTTGCTTGTTCGGTTGACGAACTGATTGACCGGCTGGATTGGTTGAGTGTTTGCTTGCTTGCCCATTTGTTCGTTTGGTGTAGTTGTCTGCTTGTCGATGCTTCAGTTCCGTCTGCATGCCTGTTTGATGGGTGGTTCCTTCGTGTTGTCGTTGTCGTTGGCACTGCTTGCTGCCGCTGCTGCTGCTGCGGCCGCTGCTGTTGTTGCTGTTGTGGTGGTTGTGGTGTTGGTGTTGGTGTTGGCGTTGGTGTTGGTGTTGGTGTTGGTGTTGGTGTTGGTGTTGGTGTTGGTGTTGGTGTTGGTGTTGGTGTTGGTGTTGGTGTTGGTGTTGGTGTTGGTGTTGGTGTTGGTGTTTGGTGTTGTGTTGGTGGTGTGTGTTGTGTGGTGTGGTGTTGTGTTGGTGGTGGTGGTGGGGGTGGTGGTGTGTGGTGGTGGTGGTGGCGTGGCGGTGGCGGTGGCGGTGGCGGTGGCGGTGGCGGTGGCGGTGGCGGTGGCGGTGGCGGTGGCGGTGGCGGTGGCGGCGCCGCCGCCGGCGGCAGTGGCGGTGGTGGCGGTGGTGGCGGTGGTGGCGGTGGGGTTGGGGTTGGTGGGTTGGTGGGTTGGTGGGTTGGTGGGTTGGTGGGTTGGTGGGTTGGTGGGTTGGTGGGTTGGTGGGTTGGTGGGTTGGTGGGTTGGTGGGTTGGTGGGTTGGTGGGTTGGTGGGTTGGTGGGTTGGTGGGTTGGTGGGTTGGTGGGTTGGTGCGTTGGTGGGTTGGTGGGTTGGTGGGTTGGTGGGTTGGTGGGTTGGTGGGTTGGTGGGTTGGTGGGTTGGTGGGTTGGTGGGTTGGTGGGTTGGTGGGTTGGTGGGGGTGGTGGGTTGGTGGTGTTGGTGGGTTGGTGGGTTGGTGGGTTGGTGGGTTGGTGGGTTGGTGGGTTGGTGGGTTGGTGGGTTGGTGGGTTGGTGGGTTGGTGGGTTGGTGGGTTGGTGGGTTGGTGGGTTGGTGGGTTGGTGGGTTGGTGGGTTGGTGGGTTGGTGGGTTGGTGGGTTGGTGCGTTGGTGCGTTGGTGCGTTGGTGGGTTGGTGGGTTGGTGGGTTGGTGGGTTGGTGGGTTGGTGGGTTGGTGGGTTGGTGGGTTGGTGGGTTGGTGGGTTGGTGGGTTGGTGGGTTGGTGGGTTGGTGGGTTGGTGGGTTGGTGGGTTGGTGGGTTGGTGGGTTGGTGGGTTGGTGGGGTGGTGGGTTGGTGGGTTGGTGGGTTGGTGGGTTGGTGGGTTGGTGGGTTGGTGGGTTGGTGGGTTGGTGGGTTGGTGGGTTGGTGGGTTGGTGGGTTGGTGGGTTGGTGGGTTGGTGGGTTGGTGGGTTGGTGGGTTGGTGGGTTGGTGGGTTGGTGCGTTGGTGGGTTGGTGGGTTGGTGGGTTGGTGGGTTGGTGGGTTGGTGGGTTGGTGGGTTGGTGGGTTGGGGGGTTGGTGGGTTGGTGGGTTGGTGGGTTGGTGGGTTGGTGGGTTGTTGGGTTGGTGGGTTGGTGGGTTGGTGGGTTGGTGCGTTGGTGCGTTGGTGCGTTGGTGCGTTGGTGCGTTGGTGCGTTGGTGTGTTGGTGTGTTGGTGCGTTGGTGGGTTGGTGGGTTGGTGGGTTGGTGGGTTGGTGGTGGCGGTGGCGGTGGCGGTGGCGGTGGCAGTTGCGGTGGCGGTGGCGGCGGCGGTGGCTGCGGCGGTGGCGGCGGTGGCGGCGGCGGCGGCGGTGGCGGTGGCGGTGGCCGTGGCGGTGGTATTGCCGTTGCTGTTGTTGCTGTTGCTGCTGTTGTTGTTGATGTTGATGTTGATATTGATGTTGACGTTGATGTTCGTGCTCGTGTTCGTGTTCGTGTTCTTGTTGTCGGTACTTTATTGCACGTGGTCTTGTGCCTGTTCTTGCCGTTGCTGCTGCAGCGGTCGCGGCTGCAGCTGGTGGTGGTGTTGTTGTTGGTGGTGGTGCTGCTGCTGCTGCTGGCGGTGGTTGTTGTGGTTCTGGTTGCGGTTGCGGCTGCAGCTGTGGCAGCGGCTGGGGCTCTTGCTGTGGCTATGGCTGTGGTTGTGGTTGTTCATGTTGTTGTTGCCGGTTGTTGCTGCTGTTGCTGCTGCTATTGTTGCTGTTATTTGTTGCTCTTGTTGCTGTTGCTATTGGTGCTGGTTTTGCTGTTGTTGCTGTTATTGCTGTTGTTGCTGTTGTTGCGCTGCTGTTGGTGTTGGTGTTGTTGCTGTTGGTGTTGGTTGCTGTTGCTGTTCTTCTTGTCGCTGTTGATGTTGCTGTGACAGTTGCTGCTGCTGTTGCTGGTGATGACTATTAGGGATGTTGTTGTTGGTGTTGTTGTCTGTTGACGTTGACTGTTGTTGGCTGTTGCTCTTATTTGTTGGTGGTGTTGTTGTTGTCGTTGTCGCTGTCGTTGTGTTGTTCTTGCTGCTACTGCCACCGCTACCGCTTCTGCTTCCGCTACCGCTGCGGCTGCGGCTGCGGCTACGGCTAAGGCTACTGCTAGTGCTATTGCTATGGCTATGCCTATGGCCACTGCTACTGCTACTGCTACGGCTATTGCTATAGCTAGTGCTATTGCTATCGCTATTACTATTGCTATTGATTGTTGTTGTCTTCGCCAGCTATGAGCAGAGCCCGCTCGCTCAGCGTCCAATAAGCTGTTGTCGTTGTTGTTGCTCTGGTTGTCATTTTCGATTTTAAGTGTGAGTTGCGGCTGTTAGTGCTGCTGTTGCTGTCGTCTTGTACTGAACTGACACTTGCATGGCTCATGAGTACGACGGTGTCCAAGTTGGGTGATTTGTGATGGTGGTGAAGATTGGTGGAGAAGCTGGCTGATGGCGACGAGAACGGTGGCGCCAATGATTATGCTGGCGATCTCTGACTACTACAGCCACTGACGCTTGACCGCTGGCTGCTATTCTTCCTCCTATAAGTACGTCTGTTGTGATATCACGTCGTCTATGTACCCGCTGGCTTGGAACACTACGACTCATGTGGTACTGGGACACTAAGTGCAGCAATACCTTCCGAATGGAATCATGCTGACAATCTTAACCACTTTTTCATCTACTCTGGCAAAAAGACGGAATTCTTCACCCAGGACACTGGACAACTGCATCTGCATGTATGGGCAAGTGTGCATTTACATATACACTCACACAGGTATTGTGCTATATACATCTGCATGAAATATGGAGACAAGATACGCCATGTGGACACACTCACAACCTCTACACCTATATACTCACCACCTCTGTACAGATTTGCCTCATAAATACTATACAGAAAGATCAAACAGTTGGAAGGATTCGTAAACAGAATCCTGCGAAGGAATCTGGTTGACGAATGCGGGGATGCTGCGACCTCGGTGGCACGATGCGGCACATGGCGACAGTCTTCAGGCTCTAGAACCGTACAGTGCCGCAGTTCATCTGCCATTTCGTGTGTCAGATGTGGCAGCTTTGGGTCGAAAGCTCACTCGAAGCTTGACAACTTCTATCTTGACTTGTACTAGGACTTGTGCTCGGTGCCAGTGATGGGTATATACCCAATCTCACATGCCAGCTTCTCACATGCCAGCTCTTTCAAGCACAACCCCACCTGTTGCCCGGACGAAACCAACATGCACAGATGTCCCACACATCGTTGTCATAGGTACGGACGTGTCGGAGCATTTCAGCCATCGACATCTTAGCGCCCCGGAACTGTTTGCATCCTGAGAAGTGCTGCATCCTCGACGTCACGGGCAAGATAAGGATGGCTTCGCGACACCGATACTAAACGCAGAGCAGGCGAGCTGCACTTCTCGGTCAAGGCGGCAGCATTCGCAAAAATCCTGTGGTCGATGTTTGAGACTCACACTTTGGGTATCTTCGGGTCACCCCACTGCTCTTGGCTTCCCCAGCTCTTCAGCCGCATACCCGACGCGTTGAGTGGAACTGTTCAACACTTTCTCGGGAAGTGAAGGGAAAGGACAGCAGGTAGACAGGACGACCTCTACAGCTTCCATCGAGGCAGGGCCAGGCAACAGGAAACGGTGAGGACTCTTTGGCACACTCAAGCCGTGAAGCCCAACCAAAGAACCCTGAAACTCGCAAAGACACATCTCAAGCTCTGCCCTGAAGTCCTCAGATTTGTTGCGAAGAGGAATAGCCTGAGTGAGCCGTGTGCATAGCTGCGCTCATGTCAAGGATGAGCTTGGACAAGTGGGCACACTCTATACGAATGCAACAGGCGTGTTGCGACAAAAAGCATTGAGGCCTGGCTCTCGGACTTCACCCTGCACTTTTTGGCTGTTTTGCTTGGAGATCTGGTGCTTGGGGCTCTTTATGAAAGATGGTGGCACTGGGCTGCAGGCTTCGAAGTGTTTGGGTCCTTCGGGCCTTAAGACGTCATGTCCATGCTACACAGTATCGAGGCTTAAAAAGTCCACGAGTGACATCAACAATATCATTCCCCGGCCCATTTTATGCCAAGCAGCAAAGGTAACGACGACATGGCCTGCGTTGGCCAGATTCGTACAAAGCTGGGTCTCCTAGCTCAACTGACCGGTAGCCTCAAGCATCGACCCACAAGACGAAGCCTCCTAACATCCCAAACAAAAGGATGCCCATGTTAAAGCAACATGCAGGCCCGACTTGGAAAGCACTCTTGCTCCGGAAGTGTCACATTGGCACACTGCGTGGATAAGCCTGCCTCCATAATCTACACCTTCAGTCTTTCTCCCCATTTTCGGTTGCCACTCATCGCTTCGAGCCTCTACTAGCATCGGCAGCGACTCGAAGTTGGTGCGGAATACCTTGGCAGGACCCCGACCGAGCGGGTCAGGAAAACCTCATTACGACAGGAACAGGGATGACAACGACAGCTGTTCAGAATGATGAGCCATGCAAGCCGCAACCATCTTAATGCCTTCACCATACTATCATCAACAATAAAATCACCTTCAGAAAAGTGTCATGCCACACATGCTGTGTTCTGCACACCTCTGACAACGAAGAACAACAACAACAACCACAACCACAACCACAACAACCACAACAACCACAACAACCACAACAACCACAACAACCACAACAACCACAACGACCACAACGACCACAACGACCACAACGGCCACGACGACCACGACCACAACCACACCAACAACCACAACCCCAACTGCAACCCCAGCCACAACCACAACCGCAACAATAACAACAACCACAACCACAACATTATATTGAGCCAGCTCTCCTCATAGCGGGCGAACAACCGCAACAACGACAACAACAACAACAACTGCTGCTACCTCAGCAGCAAGGACAAAAACAACAACAGCACCACCAGCAGCAACAACAACAACAACTACAACATCAACAGCAGCAACAACATTGACGACGACGACGACGGCTGCAGCCGCGGCAGCACAAGACTGCATCGTCCACATCACCAGCGTCAAAGCCATCTCTAGGATCAGCACCATCACAAGAATCATCGCTAAAAAGCATCGCCAGCATCAGCTGCAGCAACAGAGGAAGCGGAAGCATCACAACCATTGTAATCGCCCATACCCATCATCGGCAGGACGATGATGATCATCATCATCCCCAACAGTGGCAGCATGAAGCATCATCACCAGCGCTGCCACTGCCATCAACGACACCATCATCATGACCGTTCAGACCATCATCGTCCTCGTCGTCGAGCGGCGTGGTCGTCATTCGCATCCCAGTAAAGTTTTCGGGTCGTCGCGCTCTTGGTAGTGCTGTTCTGGTTACTGTTTGGGTCGTCTTTACCACTATCGCCTTAGCACTCGTAGGGAGAATACGACTACTACTACTACTACTACTACTACTGCTACTGCTACTCCTACTACTACTACTACTACTACTACTACTACTACTACTACTACTTACTACTACTACTACTACTACTACTACTACTACTACTACTACTACTACTACTACTACTACTACTACTACTACTACTACTACTACTACTACTACTACTACTACTACTACTACTACTACTACTACTACTACTACTACTACTACTACTACTACTACTACGACTACGACTACGACTACGACTACGACTACGACTACGACTACTACTACTACTACTACTGCTACTACTACTACTCCTCCTCCTGCTGGTGCTGCTACTGCTAATACGACTACTACTATCACTACCACTGCTACTTCTACTACTACTCCTACTGCTACTACTCCTAAAACTAGGTCACGCAACCGCTGGTGGCCCCGTTGTTTTTGCACGCGAAATCGTGCATTTGTCCCACGAATACCAGCATTCTTGGTTATAAATGCGGTTCACGGAATCGTCTTTTTTTCTTGAGTTGACAGCAGGAGAACATTGTCGTAGTAACAAAAGTGACACGCCTGCCAGTGTTTTCGAAGGTTTGCATGTGTACGGTTTAGACGATGTTTTTTGTAAGTCGTGCGTCTTTTGCAAAGTGATCTTTGAGGTTTGTGCAGGAAGTCGCACTGCTCCTAGTAGTAGTAGTAGTAGTAGTAGTAGTAGTAGTCGTAGTCGTAGTTGTAGTCGTAGCAGCAGCAGCAGCAGCAGGAGGAGGAGGAGTAGTAGTAGTAGTAGTCGTAGTAGTAGTAGTAGTAGTAGTACTGCCTTAGGATTGTGGGTTTAAGACTTAGGGGTTTCCTTATAGCTGTGGTGCCCATGCAAGCACACTTTTCCGGGTGCTGAAGCCAAACTTCTGTGGACTAGTGCCCTGCTGAAAGGGTACTGAAGCCAAAACTCTGTGGACCAGTGCCCTCTGCACGTAGCCGGCTTGAATCAGCTCCTTCAGAGCGGATTCAGGAGTCTGTCCGGTTGAACTGGGGCCACGCCAATGACGATGTCCGCTAGAAGTACGGTCTGGTTTCCGGCAGGAACCACTATACTGCTTCCTCCTCTGAGCAGGCTTGAGCCACTGCTTTTTCATCGGCGGCCCTCGTTTCCTCGATGCAGCAGCTCCCGTGCCCCGCAGCGCACGACCCTTGCGCCCACGCTTGGAGAACCGCTCGGCCCGCAGCTTACGAAACGCAGAGGCACCTGGCAAAGAACAAGTCCGCAGGTTGTGTCCATGGCGTCCGCAGCGCAAGCAACGTTTGCTCTGATTCGCTGGCATCTCCCCGGAAAGGCTGCAATTGATGAAGCTGACAATGCATATCATCATCCCCCCCCCCCCCCCCCCCCCACCCCCGCTTTGGAAGCAGGCAAGAACCCTGAACAGCCTAAAAACATGCATTTGGCACGGGGCCGCGAGAGGTTGCGTGAGCTAAAACTACGACGACTACTACTACTACCACCACTACAAGGACTACTGTCACTACTACTACTACTACCACCACCTACTATTACTACTACTACTCCTACTACTACCATATTATACCAACCACGATCACCACCCAACGAGGACGACGACTACCACTTTGCGGCTGCTACTGCTACCACCACTCCCGCTAGCGGCAATTACGATACGACATACCCGTGAATCTTTTACGGGACAAGCATTGCGCACAGCCGCACAACGTGCCAGGTTGTGTCCCAAAAGAGCCGACAGTTTCAAAACAATTTTTGTGGCTTCAAAGTCTGTTCCTACTCGGCAAGGATATAGGTATGGCATAGGCAGAGCTTGGCATAGGCTAGAATGGAAGCCTTCTTTGGAGACCAGGCGTTGCTAACATGCCAACTTAGGGATCAACTTTAGGGCGAGGATACTTTTCCAAGCACCCATCTGCATGTGACCTCAAGCCCGGCCCATCTCTGCTAAGGCAGCCTCATTTTCTGAATGTCGCCTCAGCAAAAAAACAATTGTTGGCCGGGCCGCGAATGCCACGGCACTAGCAAGGAAGAAGATGAAGCCCACGGCACCTAACACCTCAGGCTTCAATCCGCCGGCTGGTATATGTCGCAACAGAAATTAAGGCAGTCACACTGCTAGCCCTGAAACCGTCGCCAGTAGTGAAACGATTCTTGCTGGTTTGCCCCTGTCCTTGCGATAATGTTTACTGGGTTTGGACCTCGGACTTGCACAGATTAGGGCGATTCGGGGCAGGGCCTGAGCGATTGCTGGCTTCGGATTAGCAGGCATCACGCCGTCTAAGAACGACAGCGTAAGACCCGGCCAAGAGCTTCGTTGTGGCGCTTGAGGGGCATGGGGGGGCTAAACCCTAAATCTCAGTGCTTTAAACACCCGATCCTAGCTTCCCAAACATCATGGACACCGCAGCTGCAGGATGCCGACTATTGGATTCCAGGGCTTGCTGCTCATCATGGTGTAGCACAAATGCAAGTTCTGATGCCAGGCGGTCTAAAACTTTGCACAAACTGATGCCTTAACTCTCCAAGGTGAAAGGCCAGCGCCTGCACCGTCACGAAACTGGTCTCAAGCTCCCTCCCGACGCACTTGAGAAGTGCCTTCGGCCATCAGGGCGGCTTTAGGCCGGACTGCTGAGTTCAGGGAGAGCTTTAGATTTGTAAAGCAGGCACGACATGAGGACGAATTGTACTTGTGCGATTGAGCCGCCATGAACATGCTGTAGCAGGCCGTGCTAGGACTTGTACTAGCGGCGAGCGGTAGCAGCAATAGCAGTAGCAGCAGCAGCAGCAGCAGCAGTAACAGTAACAGCAGTGGTAGTGTACTACTGGCAGTACTAATGCTAGCAGCTGCTATCAGCAGTAGAGGTAGTAGTAGATTGTGATAGTGGCAGTGGTAGTAGTAGTAGTAGTAGTAGTAGTAGAAGTAGCAGTAGTAGTAGCAGCAGCAGCAGCAGTAGTACTAGTAGCAGTAACAGTAGCAGTAGCAGTAGCAGTGGCAGTGGCAGTGGCAGTGGCACTGGCAGTGGCGGTGGCAGTGCGGTAGGAGTAGTAGCACTGACAGCAGTAGCAGTAGTAGCAGAAGTAGCAGTAGTAACTAGTAGTAGTAGTAGTAGTAGTAGTAGTAATAATAGTAGTAGTAGGAGTAGTAGTAGTAGTAGTAGTAGTAGTAGTAGTAGTAGTAGTAGTAGT